CAGAGGAGCCTTCAGCGTAACGTCGGACCCACCGACTTGGTGCTTGCCTAGGCTGGAAGCTGCCCACGCTCACAATTGCATGAGCCTTTCTTTGGAGAAATTTATCAATCTCTCATTCTCTCTACACACACACACACACACACACACACACACACACACACACACACGTTACTGGTTTTGTTCTTCTAGAGAACCCAGCCTGAGACAGGACTGCTATGCATTGGAATTGGCTCCCGAGCACCCAATAGCAACACTTTGTGTGTGTGTGTGTGTGGGTCCTTCCCATAGCCTTTACAGACTGAGATTATTAGAAGCCTCGACATTATCTTAACGGCTGGGGCACAACCTGGGGGCATTTGTGGTGTTGTTCACTGTTGATGTCCTTTGGTCACCTTGGGTGGGCTGTGTAGTACAGCAATCAGACTAGTGGGGTTGGAAGAAATACTTTCTTTTTGAAGCAACACCTGTTAAGTGCAACAGCAGAACTCTGCTCATGGAGGAAACCAAGTCACAACAAGTGTGGCTAAAAACTTTCTGTCACTGATGAGGGAACCACTGTGGAGAATGAAGACGCGCAGGCAGTTAGAGAAAGTACTAGATGATTCCTAAGGGACAGCAAGTCCCATATTCATATGAGCAACATTTCAGGGGATGACGATACACTGCGTTTTAAATTTTCTTTACATAAGTTGTAAGGAAGTCTGTCAAGAAAACCCAAATCCTCACAGCTGGAAAAGTAAGTAACGTCCTGGTAAAGGGAGGAAAGATTGACGTTGTCAGGGGTTTTGTTTTGGGTGGACCCCCTATCGATGTTCATCAAACAGCAGCCAAGAGAATACACGATGGATGGCGTTGGGTACATCTGCGGCACAAGACCTCTTTAAAGTGTCGAATAGCAAGGTTACTTCGAGGATTGAGGTGTGCCTGAACCAACCCATGGCGTTTTCAATTGCCTCGTATACATGTGAAAGCTGAACACTGAAGACATGACTGAGGAAGAATCGATGCTTTTGCATTGTGGTGCTGAAGAATATTGAAAATAGCAAACACGTCTGTCTTGCAACAGGTACAGCCAGCATGCCCCTAGAGCAAAGGATGCTGCCACCTCATCTCTTGGACTTTGGCCGTGTTGTCACGAGAGGCCAGTTCCTCCCGGAGAAGGGCATCGTGCTGGTTAACGTAGCGACTCAGTGACGAAAAAGGAAGACCTTCCACGGGATGGTTGGAGACCGTGGCCGCCTCGTTGTGCTCAAACGTAAGAGTGCTTGTGAGGCCGGCACAGGGCCAGGCAGTGCTTCCTTCTGTTGAATGCAGGGCCACTCTCAGTCGGAACTGACTTGCTGGACCTCACAACAACAGCACACTGAATTGACTGGAAGGCAGAGAGTGCGAGAGCGTGAGTGATCCTGGAGATAGCAAGCTTCTAATCACAGAGACACAGAAAAAGGAGGGCAGCGATCCGATGTGATCACGCAAATCACCAGTGCTATTTTAGACTAAGCACAAACTCAAACTCGCAGAGGGACGTTGTCAGGGCTCGAGCTCATCTGGAGCTCGAGGAAAGATCGGCACAAAGGTGAGAAATGGCATTTCAGGCGGTAGGAGTCGTTGTCGTCATCATCATAACAAACACCCTTTGTGTATGGACTACTGACTGTGCCCATTTTCCACAAAGTCACAGGTTACGGGTTCCTATCTGAGGTAGGTCACATTGTGTGCATATTGCTGAAAATGGAACCAAATTTCAAACTCGTTCACACTCCCGCAGCTCAAAGGAGGTAGAGGCGGAATTTGAAGCAGGTGCCTTTTATGATGACAAACATTGCCTTCGATAATTCTGCAACGACATGTTACGTGATCAGTAGTGGGGGTTTCCCCCCCTCCTTTCTTCTGAACAAAACCGAGTGCAAATACCCAATTGTATTTGTATTCTACTGGGCAGAATTCTAATTGGGACCACCCAGATTCTTCCGAGCAGATGATCCGATGATAGTTTCAGCAAAATCTGTTATGAAAACATGTCATATGAGTGTGGAAGGAGCATATGTCTTAGTATACCCATTCGAGAGAATCTGGTTGTTTTCAGGACGTAAAAAATAGGGCCTCTTGAAAATGAAAATTACTTCGGAAGGATTAGAAGTACCCAAAATAGTAGGCATGGAAATTGTAGGCAGGAAGGTGCACGGGAGGAGGGGGCAGGGGAGCCAAAGAAAGGAGCAATTGAAAGTAAATCTCGCTCCCCGAAGTGCTCAGTTGTTTCTGAGACTGCTGCCAACCTGTCTGCCCACCGTGACTCTGGGATTGGAGTATCGCCAACGCGTGCCGTATACATACTCATCTCTGGCCGGGCCCTGCCACTTTTCAAGGAAGGCAGCCGAGATCTGCTTGGCTCGGCAAATTATGCAAAATAGGGTTCTCCACAGGGTTTTGCTTCTTCCCTAGGCAGAACCCAGACCCAGGCTGGAGGCTTTATTCTCCTCTTGAAATACATCCCCCCGAAGAAAATGCACCGGGCAGCAGGCTCGTCAGGAGAGGGATGCAAACGCTGGCACAGAAAATCCGTTGCTGGAGGAATCACAATGAGTCCAAACCTGTGCCTATTTTCAAAGGCGGGCTCTCAAAAGTGTCCTTGGAAGCAAACATCACGACCAGCTGCACTGATGAATGTAACTACCGACTTGTTCTGATTTTGAATGGGAATGCTGAACACATGGCCTGGCGCGGCCCTGATGCTGGATCTGGATGATTTGGGGTTATGGAGATGCCAGAGTATTTGATTTCATCCCACTCATGATTAGTTGGGATGAAATTGTACAGAAGAGAAACTCTTCTCATCAACCTTTCCTTAACTGATTTTTTGCATTCACGGTGGTTCTCCATGCTCTTGGTAGAAGATAGGACACTGTCCTGGAATTCTCAAGACAAAGAGTTTCTCTCTCTAGTCGCCATGAGCACTTCTGCCGTGACTTGCCGTGTAAGCTTAAAACCCTAGCGGCATGCTGCTGCTGCTTGCACTGTTTCTCCCTCTTCTTCTTCATCATTTATTTGGGGCGCTTACAGCTCTATAACACTCCATACACCAATTGTATCAAGTATATTTGTACATATGTTGCCATCATCCTTTTCTAAGCTCTTTGCACTTGTTCTTGTAGTTATGTAATTTAATCTCAAAACTCCTCAGAGATACGAATGTATTGGGTCTATAAAGTCAAAGTTAAATGCTTTGGGAAGACTCCACAAGGGTAGGAAAGGGATTAAGGGGCCATTTTAAAAAAATTACTATTCTTTACACAAACAAAAACAAACATTGGGGAAAATAATAAAAATATACAGTAAACATTCATATGAGGAAGCTTCAAAAGATTTTTGAAAAAAATTCCATGTCTTTTAATAATTTTTTTCCTATCAATCTGTTGCATCCTCTCATATTACTTAAATTCTTGACATGAACAATGCATGGGGAAAAATAGAACAAAACTGGAGATCATTATCCATATTAAGGGCCCAGGCAAAAAAATAACAACAACAAAAAAAAAACAAGCTTATTGCCAGTGAGTCATTTCAGACTCATCGGGCTCTCTGGGCAGAGCAGAACTGCCCCTGGGGGTTTCTTTATATGTAAATCTTTATATGAGCAGAAAGCCTCATTTTTGTCTCACAAAACAGCTGATGGCTTTGAATTGCTAGTCTTGGGTTACTAGCTTAACCCGCAACCCACTATGCCACCAGGTTCCTTAAGGGCCTGGTTTTAAGGCAGGGGTGGGGGTTCCCATAATGCAAAAATCACAGAATCGTATTCATAGGGAAGGAACCCTGGTGGTGTAGTGGCTTTGCAGTGAGATGCTAATCATGATGTCAGCAGTTTGAAACCCCTAGCTGCTCTAAGGGAGAGAGATGGGGCTTTCCCTCTCATCAGGAGTGCCAGTCTAGGAACCCCACAGGGGCACCTCGACTCTATCCTGTAGGGCCATGATGAGTCAGAATAGAGTTCTAACTCAATGGCAGGGAGTTCTTCATAGGGAAGGCCCTGGCTTGCCCCATAAGACTGGTAACGTTTTAGGTTAAATATTTATGCTGTGGATAGCTATCATTTTGTACCATGAATATCTATCACTTGCTAAAACTTCCCACATTACCTGACTTTTTTCATGAATAGGCTCTTTTCAGTTCACGATCAGTGCTTATCTTACACATCTCCAGGGGCTTCCACTGCATGCGATAGAGAGGATGGCCACTGGGCCGCAGCAGCAGCAGCAGCACCTGGACGTTACTAGGAAGGCAGACTCTCAGCTCTTCACTGGAGCCGTGCCCAGGAGCTGTGTTTTACAGGCTCTTCTGGTGCTTCTGAGGTCAGGACGCACCAGACCTGGAGTCACACCACCAGAGGCAAGACAAGTGGATAGAGCGACACGACATAAGCACATGGGGACAAATCCTTTGGTTACGACCCAGCAATTCTACTTCTAGGCATTTTCCTTGAAACCAGAAGACACGATGCATAAGGCTCTCTGGGGTCTTACCATCTACTCAAATCTTAAAAAATGTAGGCGGGACAATCTAATTAGAAAATAAAAATGGTAAATACATGCTAGGCAGTCAATAAAGTCACATTATGGTTTTATAAACTGATGAACTGCTTACAGCATGAAGTAAAAATAAACCCCCCGACATTCACTATGGTTATAATTCTGTAATCTAAACAGCCCCAGAGACTGGGAAATGACTGGGTCCATTCTCTTAGAGTGGTACAGGGTGACTGCTTCGTTCTCATCTCTCAAAACAAATCAATGGAGTTATAATGATGTTTCTATCATCAAAATACCTCAATTATACTATTTGAAATTCACACAATACTCCCAAGATGCAATTTATAGGCCCTTGTGACTATGTCAAGCACGGCTGCCATACCACTCAGCAGCTATTGTGCATCAAACACTGCGCACGTAAAACAGACGGCGCGACAGGAGTCCCCCGTCACTGAGGCTGCCTGCCGTCAGTACCTGAGTTGTCCTCGTCTTTGCGGACCTTGAGCTTCACCAGGTCTTCGCACTGCTGCAGGATCTGGACAGCGTCGTCCATGGAACAGTTGTCCAGCCGGATGTTGTCGATGGCAAGCAGCTTATCCCCAAGTTCCAGAGTTCCAGTTCTGGGAGGAAATGTATACATAGCACTGCTTGATAAATCATGAGCCCCACACTGGGCCTTTAAAGGGACATTAAACATAATAGCACGATGGTTGTCTTTGGAGGGAAAGAGGTTCTTCAAAGGCTTTTACAACCACCGCCGCCATGACCCGCCCGCCTCTCCTTTCCCCAGCTTCATTGCGTGGCTGCGGTGGCATTCCCCTGCAGGGTCCTGAGCTTACTTGGGAGGGAGGAAATGGGTCTGCAGAGGCCCACGTGTCCTTAGGCGTCGCCGTGTGTGGCTCTATGTTTGCTCGTGGGCCACCCGGCACCCGCAGAGGGCCAGGGAGCGAGGGGGGGCAGGTGCGGTGGAGCTAGGGAGAGCTCAAGTGTGGCCTCTCTGCTATTGCCACCTGCACCTGGGGCTGCCGCAGGGGGCCGGGGACAGGAACACATGATTCCAGAAAATGGCCATTTGGACTCTGGTACCCACCAGGGACCGTGCAATCTTGTAGAGAGTTTTCGAGGTGCACCATAATGAGGCTGTCATGAGAATGCAGTAGGTACATTTATCTGTCCCTGTGGAAAGAGCCCTGACAGCATAACAGGGAAGTGCTCAGCTGGTGACAAAAAAGGTTGATGGTTCAAAACTCCCCCAGGGGTTCTGTGGGAGTAAGACGTGGGGTTCAAAAAAATCCCCCTATGGGGCAGTTCCACTCTGATTCAGGGGGTCACGAGAAGCCAAAAAAGAGACTCCACAATGTCTAACAGCAATAGTGTGTATGAACACACACACACACACACACACACACACACAGCTATAACACATCATGAAGAACTAACTCTCCTTTAAACACGATGTCTGTGACAGTGTGAATTGTTTCTCAGCATCGTCCCTGCTCTTTGTTAACAGAGTCTGCAGAGTTTTTGTGGGGTGTCTGCATGGGCTCACAGTCCCAGCCCCAGCTTCGGTGGCTGCTAGCTGTGAGAGAAAATTGGCACTGGAATTGGGAAGTGATATGCAAACTTCTTGGTTGTTCCCTATGATGTTTGCCGTGGCCTCTCCCTGCCCACACCTTCTGGCTAGAGACTGGCACGGCCAGAGCCAGCTGGTACAGATGGCAGGGCTGCTCCCTAGCGCTGGGTTGCCTCCTACGCCCCAGCTGCTGTCTGAGAAACTACTTCTGTTTTGTTTGAACCACCAAACTTAAGAAGCTCTTTGTCCCGGTACTTAGCCCATGCTGTAATTCATGCAACATCCTTCTGTAATGTTAAAATAGCATTTCTTTCATGAAATTAATACCAGCATAGATGGGATTTTTAAACATGTCCTTATTTGAAAAAGAAAAAGTTAACAGCCTGATACAAGAACACATTCTTCTCATCATTTAAAAATATTTCTGATGGGTGCAATATTGGGTGCTCCTGATTGCGATGGGATTTGGAAGGTGGGACTAGGAGGTTAGTGTCCACTGGTCCTTTTAAAAAACCCAGACATGCTGAGTTTGGGGCGGTTCAGAGCAAAGAAGAGATCTGGACATTGCTTCAGGTTCAAGGACATGCTCAGCACTAACCCTCGTCCATAGGCTTTTCTCTCCTGGGGTGCCTCTTATAAGGGAGACCACTTTCAATTTTTAAGCTGGAAAATGAAAGACAGAAGATGCTTAGTGAAGGCAAACTTATAATGGACTCATGAGAGACCTTGAAAACACTACCTGTTGAATAGCATCTGCAGTATGTCCAGAAATAAATTGACACGAGGGGGAAACATAGCGGCCATTGCCATACGGGATGCCAAATCTCATTGATTAGTAGTGGCTGACTGGTACATGATATCGTGAGCCCAGGAATCCATTAGCAGGGTCTGCCTACGGTGTGAATCAAGTCATTGCTGCTGATTTAAGAGATGTCAGGGAATGGGTCAGTCAGTCCATTTTCCTTACCTGTGTGCCACGCTGCCTTTCTTGATATCTGAAATGACCAGGGGGTCCCCTGGTTTTCTACTGGATGGTGCTGTAATAATGAAGACAGAATAGTGACATCTTTATATCCCAGGATCGGCCACAACTGTGTATTTTCCTGTTTAATAACAACCGTTAATACAAGCGCAGCTTGTGTTGAAAGCAAAGATGATCAGCAAATGAATTAGACAGCACACACATTATTCTCGATCTAAAATGATGTTTGTGTACAGTACTGATGACAATGAAAGCAGAGCTATTTAAGATTTGTAGTTAAGAGAAAGCCTAATAACAAGAGCTGTCCATCAATTCAAAATCCATTTTAATTGGTGACTAGGAGGGGAGGCGAAAATTGAATACCCTAACAGGAAAATATTAAGATCAACGAAGGATTGATATATGATCCTTTCTTCCACCCTTTCCTCCATTTCTCCAATGATAAGACACCATTGTCAGTGAAATGTGACATATTCCTCACCTGTAATAGGTAGGAAACTGGATGGGGATCACTAATTAACATTCTTTTTTGTTCCCATAGATTTCTTGCTTGGTGGACAACCCGCCCAAACCGGCCTTAGAGCTGCCAAGTCAGCCGTGGCTCATAGTGACCCTCTAGGACAGCGTACAAGTGCCACTGTGGGTTCCATGGCGGGGGATCGTTTGGGGAGTAGAAAGTCTCATCTTTCTCCTACAGGGCGGCTGGTGGTTTCAAACTGCTGATTGTGACCATTTTCTGCTACTTAATTATATCCTGAGACATGTTTATATTCTAAAGATGCGTGATGTAACTTGCACTCACTTTACAGGTAAATTAAATTATCATTCCATACAGTGGTCAGCTTTGGGCTTTATAATGTTTCTTAGAAATTTTTCCATTTGATGAGAATACAGAGCAATTAGAAAAAACAAAACAAAACAAAAGCGAGTATACTTGGAACTGACCCTGAGAATGATTTATTGTCCACATCCAAACCAAACTCTCCCACTAACTTCAAGTCCACTCACGGCGGTGAACCCTGCGCAGGGCTTCCGGGATTGCACACCTTCACAGGAGCAGACATACTCTGCTTCCCCTTTGTACCAACGGGTGGATTTGAACTGCTGACTTTGTGGTGAGCAGCCCAAGGGCCAACAAGGCCATCGGGGCTCCTTACAGTTCACACAGGCATAAGAATATCATCTTGCCCTAGAAACTATGTATTTCATTGAGACATCTGATACTTTAAATGAACCACACCAACATTTATCAAGAAGCCACAAAATAACAATTTGCCTCTGAGAGGGGATGTTTGCCAACCTGAAGCCTGGAGTGATTTCCTTTTAAAGATCATTAAAAGGCCCCTAAAGTAAGATTTTATTACAAACAATTTGATCACCCTATAATAATCACAGAACCATATCATATCCCATAATCCCATCTGAATCCTAGGAAAATGTTTTTGCACAAGAACAGATGGTTTAATATCACAGCACATTTGCAGAAAAAAAGCAAAATATTCATTACTACACTGATCTATAGGAACTATTAATGAGACTTCATTCAATCACCATTCTTAGATTCTGGCAAAGGAAGCAAGATGCTCTATTTGTTACAATTAATTCATAAGCTAAACCTGCACTCAATGACTGGTATAATTCCTCGAGAGAAATAAGAACATCTAGTATTTTCATGCATGTCCTGTTTCAGAACTGCAAACTGTTCTGGGCAGAGGACACAAAATAAAACCTTAGTCATTACTGGCAAGTACAGGTTTTCTAGCATTTGCCAATGCATTTCTACAGTATTTTGCCAAGCAGAGTAACCGATAGATAGTTTCCGTGGGTGTTTTAAAACAGCTATGACCCATTGAAGTGGTCAGTGAAAGACAGCAAGAGTCGAGGTAGTCCAGTACATCAAAACCACCTCGGTCGTCTTTGTAACAGAGGAAAAGGGCACTATGAACTCTTGGGAAATCCGAATCTTTGCAGAGAGGTTTGAAACTTCAAATGGATGACACAGACATGTATGGTACCCACACTCTCCCCTCTCCTTTAACCAAGCGCACACCTCACACTTACCAGGCTCATCAGAGCAGATGCCTGGTGGAGTGATGAGAATTCTCAATCAGTCCCTGACCCTGGACAAACCACAAACAGAATTCTGGCCCTGTATGCTCCTGGGACTCAGTCAGGGCCTCCACACCCAACCGGCACCGTATTTTCATCCTCTGCTATCTGGGAAGCTGCTCGATTTGTAATGCCTTAAACATGTTGAATTCTAACCAGGGTGCAGTATTGCACCGATGAAACATATATCATTCCTCTGGTTCCTGAATCCTTACCACCCTCTGCCCCCCTGACTCCCCCCCCCACTACCATGACACAGTTCCACCTTACAAGTCCAGCTAGACCGGAGTACACACATTGGTACAGATAACCCCTCAGGAACAGTAGTAGGGGTAGTGATATCCTGAGGGTGGGGGGATGGTGGGGGCAGGGGGGCTGTCGAAAGGGGGAACCCATCACAAGGCTGGATATATAGTCCATCTCCCAGGGAGATGAATAACAGAAATGTGGGTGAAAGGAGACAGCGCATAGTGTAAGACATGAAATAACAATAATAATATATAATTGATCAGGGATTCACCAGGGTGGGAGGTTGGGTGAGGGAGGGGAAAAAAGAGGAGTTGATACCAAGGGCTCAAGTAAAAAGAAAATGTTTTGGAAATGTTGATGGCAACATATGTACATGTGTGCTTAATACAATTGAAGGATGGATTGTCGTAGGAATTGTAAGAGCCACCAATAAAATGATTAATAAAAAAATTAGATTGAATTAGTGCCAACATTGAAAAATTGGTAGACTTCCTAGCCACCACCTGTCCGTCAGCTTGACACACTGCACACTGTGTTGGCGTGCATGTCGCTGTGGTGTTGGAAGCTATGCTACCAGTGTGCGATCCAAAGGCATTGCTTCAAAAATCCTAGAAATGGTTCTTCAATAAAAATAACAAAATGTGAAGCCACTGGTTCTTAAAATGTCCTCCATCTAGACACGTCTGAGGGTGATGCTTCGTTTCTCTAGTCCTTTCCTGATGAATTCTGCCCTCTCCTACTTCTGCCCATTCAAATGGCCGTTCTGGCATCCTCCAGGGACCCAAATGATGCTCCTTTTCTTTTCTTTCTTCTTCTTTTAAAAAAAATTTAAATTGTGTCCTTTATTCACCGGTGACTGGGTTTTAGGCACAAAAGGAAGTCTGAAGTGGCAAGGTCAGGGCTGAAGGATAGATAGGCTGGCGGTTTCCCAATGGTGCTATCTCAGGACAGCCCTCAGTGTTGATGGGGAAAGAGTTCTGGTTGCAAACTTCCTGACCTTCAGCTCACTGACGCAGTTTTCCATTTTCTTAAAAGTTCTTAATAACAAGCCCCCGTCCTCATCTGCTTCCTTTAAGAAAATCTATCATGATTTTGGAATGCCTTCAAGGCACCATGACTTGCCCTCTCTGCTGTGAACTAACTGGTCCAGCAGATGCTCTTAGGAGTCCCTATTTTGACAGGACTTCTGGTTTTTTTTGGTGGGGGAAGGTAGTCTAATGAGACGAAGATTCCTCAGAGAGCATTCCTCAGAGAGGACTTCTCTGTAGCCAGTCGCTGATCACACGGACATGCTTGAACACGTTTTGCTTGTAAGAAATGCATGGCATGTGTGAGCTGGAACCCAAGTAGCAATACTTTTTGACCTCCTCTCGGATCTCAGACACCAGAACCACTCAGGGAAGATGGGTTTCAGTGGAGCTTCTGTTTTAAGTCAGTCCAGGAAGAAAGGGCTGCTCAGGTCCTTTTGAAAATTGGCCAATGAACATCCGGTCCATCGCAATACGCTGTTGCCTGATCTAGCATTGAAAGACGAGTCTCCAATAGAATGCTGTCTGACGTAGCACTGAAAGATGAGTCTTCTTGGTGTGAAGGCACTGAAACGACCCCGCGGCTGCAATGGCTTTGAGCGTGGCCATGATCACGAAGACGGCCCAGACCTAGGCATTGTGTCGTCTTGTGCGCAGCGTTGCTATAGTCAGGGCTGACCCAGTGACAAGATTCCAGGCAGACAGAGTTTCTCCTCAGAGTTTAGAGAGGTGCTGAGTAGATAAACAATACTGGCATAAGTCTCACTCACTCAGTCACTCAGTCAACTCTGATTCCTCAAGTGTCCATCTCTCCCTGCCATGCTGGCAGCGCTGACTCATCACGACCCCCAAGACTGTACCTGCTTACTGGAGTAGAAAGCTCGGTCTTTCTCTTGTGGAGCTCCTGGTGGTTTCAAACTGCTGACCATGTGGATCACAGCCTAGCTCGTAACCACTTCACCACGAGGGCTCCTTATCATGACCCTATAGGATAGAGCCCTGTGATTTTCCAAAACTGTCAATCTTCAGGGGAGTAGACAGTTTCATCTTTTTCCTTTGGAGCAACTGGCGGTTCAAATGGCTGAGCTCGCAGTTAGCAGCCCAGCAGGATGATTTTTCCATGAGAAAGAATGGAGTTCTAATTCACATACATTCTGTGACATAGGTGAATTTCAAAACTATTACACTTGGTGAAATAAGTCAGACTCAAAAGGACAAATCCCATTAATTTGAAATACCCAGGACAGATAAATGCGCAGAGACAGAACGATGATTCACATACATTACTATGGGCTGGGGAAGAGGGGCATGAGGAGGTTTACTTCCTGGCTAGAGTCTGGGGTGATGACAGGTTTTGGAAACAGGTCGTGATGACGGATGCACAGCAATGTGAGTGCAGTTGATGACAATGGATTATATACTTGAAAATGATCAAAACAGAACATTTGATGTACTACTTTTTTAACAACAACAACAACAACAAAAATTTAATAGGCTGTCTGGTACACTAGTTAAGCCCTACAACTTGTGCCCTGCATCTGCCCCCTGATCCTCCCCAAACCCCAACCAACCACACTGCCATCAAGGTGATCCCATCTCGTAGTGACCCTCGAGGGCAGAGCAGAACTGCCCCTGTGAGTTTCTAAGGCTGTAATTTTTTTATGGGAGT